CGTTTAAGAAGATGGAATCTCTACTTCTCTCGCAGTACATTGATGGCCTGCACCTATAGATTGCATACGGCAAGGGCACAGGCTGATCATCTGCCACAGGATGGAAATTCTTAAAAGGGATCCTTGTGCGTTATTCTTGAAAAAGGATGGCAGAAAAAGTAAGTTTATTTTTTCATGCTTGACAGTGATGCTAGTAAGACAGAAGCAAAAAGTTTGTGTGCTCATCTTGTATTTGTCTAATTTTACAGCAAGGCTAGTTTTACTAGTTAATGGTTTTCACTGAGCACCTTTCAGGTCTACATGCTGTGGGAGAAGCGGACCAGATGATAGATCACCAGCAAGACATGAATGCAATAAGCTTTGGTGCAGAATTTCCACCGTTATTTCAGCTAAGGCTGCAGTCAGTCATTCACATAGCATGCCACTCAGCAATTTAACCAACAGAACTCAAGAGTATTGAAAATAGACAGGAAGATGATTATTTTTCAGACAAGCAGAAGGAAATTATGTTACTATGGGTAACGCAATCCTTGTTGAACTTCTGTTTCAACTTTTGAAATTGTCCAAGTTTAGTCCCTTTTCTTCCCCTATCTCACTGTCTATTGCCTGAGAGATTCTGACCACCACTGAAATCATCTTGGAAAAGATGGCCAAATAGTAGTTCCTTTATATTGCTGAGGGCTAAGGCTGACTCATATAACAAATAGGCTCTCTCTCAGCCACTGCAAGCTGTGGGAGGGAAGAAGAAAGACAGCCTAAACCAAAGACTCAAGCCTTGGAATGCAGCTCTCAATTATTTGCAGGTGGAGGATTATTTAAACTGCCATTCTTAATGAATAAAAATTAAAAAATACATATAGATATACATATAGATATATACACAGACACACACCCCCACATAAACTGATAGTTTGTAAACACATAAACCCTTGAAGAAACAGTTCATTTTCTTCCAGTAGTATTAGTCGGCCTGATGAAAGTCTCTGTCTGCAAACTTTGCACTTAGGTCATCTCAATTATGACAGCACTATTGTTTAAACAAAAAAGGGGGAGGGCACTGTACACTTTTATGGCTTTATATTACATTTTTCCTCTTTTTTTCAGTGATAGTTATATCAAGGGAAGGTTTTACATGTAAGTCTGCTTTATACTACCCTTTCATGTGGATAAATAAGAGTTCAGAGTGTTGAAGAAACGAGTCTTTGCGAGACAGCTGAACAAATGCATTCATTAAGATGGCACTGAACTTCTATTTACTTTTGCTAAACCAGTGGGAAGCAATACCTCCTTGATTTCCTTCTGTGTGTCCAAAATGTCAACGCAAAAACATTATATATAAAACAGCTGGAATACTGTGCCTGAAAAGGAAGCGAAAACCTGCACAGAACATTGTTCACAAAGTGCCCCCTGCTGGTACTTGGTTCATGCAAAAGATTGTCTCTTCTAGCCAAAAGCAAAAAACTAAAACGGCATCACAAACCCCACTCCCATTTCTGCTTTTACAAGAAAAAAGGACCCTTATCAAACTCATCCATGAAACAAGTCATTGCAACATTCTGCAGAGAAACATTTCATAAAACATTTCATGCCTGTATCATCAGTGAGGGCAAAATGGATTAGGCAGAAACACAATTGATAAAAGCTAACAACTCCTCCCTGCCACAATTAACCCCATCACATCACTAGAAAACCACTGCAAGCAGGAGAAGCAATTATTACCACTCCATTTCAGTAACATAAGGCTCTTAAATGCTTTCTGCACATCAAAAATCATAGGGTCCATAAGCCAAACACAACATGCCTCCTCATGGAGGCTCAAAAAAGGACATATTCTTTCACTTCTTATTTCTGATGGCATTTAACAAAACACATTAATCAAACTTCTGTCCACTTGGCTGAAACTAGCAAACCCTTTAGCAGCTCCAAACAGCCATAGAAAAGGAAGGGAAAATCCAAAAGTGGCAGACAAATGTTTCTATTAATCTCCACACACACATGGAATTTCCCTTCAAATTTACGCTGGCTGAAAACCAAGAAGATGGTCTTAGAACTTTCTTAACCAAAGTTAGGTGATCTTTTATTAATATTAAACCTTAAAAAAAACCTGTGTATTGAAGGTTTGTGTTCAGAACATCACTCTGGAATTAGAACATCTCACAAATAAAAGAAAAAGAAAGGTTAATTCTGGTGCATGGTTCTTTCTCCCGTAAAAAACATTATCCGGATGGCAAAAAAAAAAGGAAGGGTAGAAGGATGCTCTAAAACCTGACCATTACTAAAAATAATATTTTGCCTCTGGTTTCTTCACGATACAGCAGTCTGTCCTGTCCCTACCAAATGCCTAAGCTCCCAGCACTGACACTCTTTGGGTACCCATTTTTCCTATGAACCACCTTGAAAAGTTTCAGGCACTGAGCAGGAGCTGGTTCCTTAGGTACTCCAGTTACAACTCACAGTCCTAAACCTCAGACACTCTTCGAGACTACCACTTTAGAGCAAACTATGCTCTCATATGATTTAGCTGTTATTATTTAGCTGGTAACTCTTGTGTTATTTAGCTGTCATGCCAAACTAGGTGAACTTTTCGATTTGTACACTTGATCCTTAGCATAAGACAGTGGGATATTCCAGCCTGGAAGTCACCGAGACAGGGATCGTCATGACCAACATTGCATCTGCTTAGAAAGGGACTCATTGGACTGTTAGTGGTCTTCATTATTTTGGTATCTGGATTCAAGAAAGAATCTCAGAGGATTGTAAAAAGAGGCAACATCTAGATGATCTTCCTGCCAGCTTGCAACAACTTGACATGGCGTGATGGTAGCTACTATTAAAAAAATCTCTTATTCTCAGGACCCCTGAACCTAAGCAAGAAAATAGGAAAACTTTACATCACCACAGCTGCCCTTACTAGGAACTTTAGACATGAGACCTACCTAGGCAAACAGCCTTGTCATGCTGAGGGGAGCCAACAGGAAGATTGAACTCTGAGCACCCGAGGGGAAGGGAAAGAAAGGGGTAGGCGAGTTCAGCTCAGTTTAAATCACTCTCACAGCAGATAACGTTACTGTTAACAAGGGCATCAGTTTTAACACGGTTCTACTCCAGGGGTTTCATTCCATCTGTTTGTAGAAATTCCTGATGTTACTAAGCTTCTTTTAAAAGTCCCGCTGATGTAATGACTTTTTAAAAGGCATGTCTTCTGTACATTTTATACATAGGATACTGAAAGTTCTCTATTTGATTCAAACAAGATCTGAATATTTGCTATGACATTCAGACCTCTCCCACATCCTGCCAGGACTCCATGTATAAAACTGATACCACAAATATCCATTAATGTACAAACAAATCCCACAAAAGAAAGTCTTTATTTGCACTTAATTATACATTGGCAGAGCATTGGCATTGGCATTTTATGAACCATGTCTGCCACTGTGATTACTTGTTTTACGTGCAGGATTTGTTCATAACCACAGTTGAGTTCATGATCTCCACAAGACAGAATGCTAGCCAGGATCTCTATGAAAGTCCTGAAAAGGAAAAGTGTCCACCCTTGACTTCAACTTCAAATCTTCCAAAGCCCAACAGATAATTTTTTTAGTGACAAAAATAAATCACTTGCTAAGAGGCTCCAGAATCTAAAACCGTTCTCCCAGCAACACAGATTAGGCAAGCTGAGAATTCTCACTATTCGTATTTAAGCTTCATTCCTCCTCTCTGTTCCCCCTAATAAACACATTTCAAACCTCTAGTGAGCCTCCAGCTATAGACAGCATTTACAGTATTTCAGGCCAATCTGAGGCCCATATGTTTAATTTTTGAAATACGCAGCTGTCCCTTAAAAGCAGAGGTTCCCTTTAGCATCTGCCATGTAACAAGAGCTTTAATATAGCATTTGGTATAGTAAGTAAGTAGAGAGTAGTTCAGTGGCCACATCAAAAGCTGTTTAGCTTTCTTACCATGGGAAGCAGGGGGGATGAGAAAATAACCATAATATTTTTACTGCATTCGTATGTCACACAGTAACCAAAGTAAGAGAGCATAAGCTGGCAACAAGAAAACCACAAACTCTCCCAGTCCATATTACAACCTTCCAAGGAATGCCAGAACAACAGAAGATTTGAGATTCTTGAAAACTGGCTTCGTGCATACGGTGTAAATTGTGGTGGTTTAGCCAACCGAGGGCAAGATATCTGGCTTATGACACCAGCTGTTGAAAAGATGTATAAGGAGTACCAATTTAATTATTTTTAATTTCAGAAATGTTGCTTGCTGCTGAATAGAAAGGTAACAAATAACTTGGAGGAGGAGAAAGGGAACTCAGCTGGACTCTATACAGGAAAAATTCTTCAAAAATGATGAGAACTGAAAAACAGCAGACAAAAAGAGAGGAAGTGTAAAGAAAAAGAGTCCTGAAGAACTGCTAGAATATATCAACCAGCAGGAGTTATCAGAGGCAGTTATCAAACACAACTGAAGCGACAAGGATGAGATAAAGGCAGAAATTAATTTATTTATACATCATTCTTTCACACATTCAATATTTCTTTGGAGAAAGCTTTATCACCCTAAAGTGAGGAAAGTGAGGATAACTTGAGATTTGTTTTTTGTCCACTGCTAACCATGCAACTACTTTAACATGGACATTATCTTACAAAATTGTGCGTCACATCAGCGGATTATTCTCTCTTTCATTTCAAGTCCTTTTTTAGCTATAATGGGCCAATGGATTTTTCCAAATGCTAGTATTGTGACACATAAGATGTATCCTGCTGATAATATTCAGTATGGCTCCTCTGCGGAAATGAGTTCCTTAAAATGGAAAAATAGAACACAGATGTTTTAAATAATGTTGAGGTAACATGAGGATGTGGAAGATGTCTGTTCCCTTGGCTACACCACAGTTGATTCTGGCTTTTAGTTCACAGATACGGGCCCAGTTGCCTGAACCATGAACCACGAACCACGCACTATTTCTTCTCTATTCCCATTCTTAGCCCACTAGATACACCGCCACTCCCCCTACTGTGTCCCTACAACACATCTGCCCTCAGCTTTGGAAAGGCCTTTACTCTTTTTTTGCCCTCATGGAAATGATTTGACCTTGCGCCATGTGATGAACGGTTTCCGAACACATCCACACAGCTCTCTCCAGCTGAAAAAGCTCAAGGAAACGCTCTGTGTCTCAGGCCAGACTGCTTATATTCTGCGAGCCGTTCTGCAGGCCCCTCTCCTGGAAAGCACTTGGAAATTCCCACAGCTGGGAAAGAATCAGTTTCATATCAGCACTTATGAGAGCGTGAACAGGAAAAGCAGGTGAAAATGTTTCCATTGGTCCATTTTTTTGATACTATACCCTAAATTCAAACATTTCTAGAGTTTTACTTTTAGAAATAGTCACTTTACTTGCCAGTTAATTTTAGCACATTTTTTACCATGGCTCCAATGCCATCAAAGATGTTATGTAATTCTGTTTCACACATGAATGCTGGGGTAGTTACCACCTTGTTCTTTGCATCCACGTGAGCTTCGTAAAGAGGAGTTAAGGAAAACAGTCTATGCCTCACTCGCAGATGCTATCCGCAAAATACATTGCCATTGACAAAACCTTACCATTCTACTACCCCTTAAATACGCACCTCCAAATATATCACTGTCCAGCTGAAAAAACAGCTGCAACCTATAATCTGGAATATTGAAAGTTATTTTGCCAGAAATACAAACACTGCAAGAGCAATCTGTGGGAATAACGTTATTCAGAAACGCAAGAAAACTTGGGAAACTTACTGCTTGTAAGGAAACTGTACAGTTTGTTTGATCATAGCTTTAGCCTTTGGAGAAAGAAAAAAGTCTCAAAGAAAACTGACCACTTGTGACTCATGCCAGTTTTATGTGCAAATTCACCCAGCATTTCCGGCCTGCCTGTGTTACTGGGTGTCCAAAGGTGTCCTACGGAAACAGCTGAGCACTACTTCTAACTGTGCAGCTGCGTGAGGGAAACAACGTTGCCAAATCATGCACCATATCACATGCTATATACACTATATATTCCCACTAAACACTAAGTGGAAAAGCACAGATCCTGTATGTATTTACTACTGTAATAACACACTACTAAGTTGTCTCTCAGCATGGAAATTCATGGGAAAGGATATAGTTACTTCTTTGACACAGTGCTTTCCTCCCAGTTCTTTAATGGCTCCTGCAGTTCCAGCATAAGGCCACTTGCCACCTTCCTCTTCTTCATGCCCCACAGTTACCTCAGCACCAGAGAGAACCTTTGCTGCCAGCACTGGTGAAATGCAGCAAAGACTGTTAAAAAAAAGAATTATAAAAGAGAGATTCCATGATGGCACTCTTTCAAAACCTAGTCATAACTGAAAGGATGCAAAGGCACATGCTCTTACAAATCTGAAAGACATCAAAAGGCAACTTCTGCTCAACATGTTCTTAGCTTCATCTTTCACAAACACCTACACACACACATCTTGAAAAACACTTTAGATACTGAACATTTCTGAAACTGAACATTTCTTTTCTAGTTCCAGCACTAACAGCTGTACATTTCCACATGACATACTTTGTCTCCACATTCACACTATCAAATAAATGCCCCTCTACAATTTATATACGTACCCAATAGGTTTGCCTGCTTTGTGGAAGTCTTTCAAGACACGTTCAACTTCGCTATTCACCTTGCAATCTTTCCCATCAACAGCAAAGGTAGATCTGCCACAAGGAGAAACTTTATACATACCTCAGCACAAACGTACAAACAGAGATGCCTACCAGCCCCGAGACTGGCTCTCAAGGGCCATCACAAAAGCAGCAGCTTCTAAGAGGCCGCTGAAAAATGCTGTAGGAGACCAGCACTACTTAAGTGAAAGTGACGCTCTTCTAAGGCTCTAGTATGTCAAAAAGCTCCTTACTTAAGATAAATATGTAGAAATAAGCATTATCAAATCAGCTTTCTAAGATTACTCAGAAGCAGAACGGCAATTTTATCAGGGACCAAAAACACGCAAAGAGAGCAGGAAAGGCTTTTCAAAGCCAACGAAACGACAGGTCAGTAACAAGACAATCAGAACGTTAACACATGATTTCCACTTGGCTAACACATGGCACTTTTTTTTTGAGCCAGTCATTGTTCTACTGTTATTAAAGCAAGACAGGACTTTTTGGAAGCCAGGCACTTTGGATATGAAGAAACAGAAGGAAAATACCAGGAATACCCAAAACTTACAAAGTTTTACCTTTGCACTCCTCAGTAAGACCCCCAAACAACCACCACAGCCCAAGGGTAGGGAGAAAATGACTTTTTATGCATTATCTAAGCTCTAAAACTCTGACCAATGTCATTGGGAAAACTTAAAATGCGACAGTGCCAATAAGAAATAGAACTGGAAACCAACATGAATGACATTGAACACTTAATTCCAACACTTTGAAAGGAGTTTTCCTTAGTAAATTAGGTAGGGTTACATATGTACTAGAGAAAGCCATTTATTGCTTGCTGTTTTTAGCGTGTGAGTCATAAGGAAGGAGTCCAATATTTACTTGCACTCACAAGTTTTTAGCAGCTCCAAATCCACCAGGAAATATCACAGCATCATGGTCTGTTGTAGTAAGTTTAGCCAGGCTTGTGATTTTACCACGAGCAATCCTTGCAGATTCCACTAAAACATTCCTTGAAGAACCAGAAATTAAACAATGAGACAAATGAAGCATTTGTGCACAACAGAGCAAAAAGAAAGATTTGGCTGGGAAGTCAGCGGTGGAAGAAGCAAGACGAACAGTGGCACCACATAATTGAAGCTCTAGCTGCTTCTAGAACACTGCTACTGGAAAATGAAGGCATTGGGATATAGTAATAGCATACAGTCATCTCCAGAAAAGGCCTTCAAGCCCTTCTCTCCCAACAAAATGCCAGCTTACATAAAACCCAGTCAGCAAGTGCTACAAGATCACCTATAGGATGCTACGTCTGAAGAACTCCTAGCTTTTATGAGACCGAGACCCAAGAGTCACAGAACAGATTAAGCACGGTTCTTACCTTGACTCAGCTTCAGCTGGCTGCCCTTTACTGTGGTCAATGACATGCATCTGAGGAACATCTGGAGCATACATCTGAACCTCAGCTCCCCCACGACTAAGGTGTACCAGTATGCTACAAAACCAGAGATAAAACACGCTGAGAACCTTAGAAGAGAGGCTTTATCTGGCCCCTAAGTCTTGCTAGAAATATTCCACCAAATTTTGAAAAAAGGGGAGGAAATAATCCCACTCTTACCAAAACATACTGAGCATGAAGCAGCAAAATCATTCTATATAACACTCGAGTTCAGAGCAAAAAAAAACAAAAAAAAAAAAAAAAGTCAATCTGGAGGCAGGGACAGGACAGACAAGCTAGTGACAACAACTTTTATCATTCAGTGCTCTTATACAAGGAACAATAAAAATTTTCTTTCTAATTGCAAGACCTCAGGCTTACAGAAGAGTCCCACAAGTAGCACACCTAGGTGAATATTTAACCTAGGTCTATGTCAAATATCTTTTAGAAATAAATACTAAGAATTGAATTGAATTAATAATTCAGCTTGAATATTAACAATTCTGGCATTTGATTGAGGACCAGGAATGAAAGCTCAAGGTGATTAAGTCCCTATTTATCTTGCTTAAGCTTGTTTCTGGAAAACTGAATTGCTGTTCCCGAAGGAACGACACTCTCTCTCAAACTTACTGCTCTGGCATTGCATATGAAGTGCTGGATCTTTGGACAGTCCTTGTGTACTGCAAGGAAGCAGCCTGATTTCTCATCAAGCTGTGAGAAAACCGTGAAGCTTCATGGGCTGATGAAGAAAAACCATCACAAATCTGTCAGGGTAATTTTGACAGCCCACGGAAAGCAGAATTGAATTCAGAGCGTTCTAACGTAAAGCAGGTAGGTACTTTTGGTGGCCAGTTACAGAAAGCAACTTACGCTGAGGCCTCATGAATTTCTGTGCCATCATAGACACCACAGCCGGACAGGACCTGCAGTAAGAAAATTAAGAAATTATTTCAGGTGATACAAAATTTCCTACAGAATCTTTCATAAACCCTGTGAGATTAAAAAAAAAAATCCACACCCTTAGGAACAAGGTCTTTATCAAGCCAGTCAACATCAAGCTGCTAGCCCTGGTATTGCAGTTTGACATACTGCACAACCAGTATACCCTTTTTATAGTTATCTGTCACACACGGGTCTCAGATATAACTAATATTACTTTATTTGCTTCTGCATTTATTCCTCAGATTTGATAAATGGACATGATAGTCTTAGGTGTGTTTTCATTATGCATGTAGTGGGTTATTTTGAATATCATAAGTTTATTTATGAGGCGTCCTTATCCTTGTGAAATACATTCTCATCTGGACGCACAACAAACAGTAGTAGGATAAAAATGCACTTCAAGGTTGCATTTATGATATGCTATTTTACCTGCTGCTGACTTTCTGTCTGAGGATCCACATCAGAGATCAGTAGCTATATCATTTTCAATAATCCAAGTATGCTACATTAGCCATACTTTTCCTTATTACCACAGTAATAATGATTTCAAATTTTCAACTTCTGTTTGTTTATACACACAGGAGCATAAAACACACAAAGCAATCAGCTATCTTTGTATGAGTGGAGGGAGTCTTTCATAAAGTAGGAGAGATAAAATATTAACAAAAAAAACACAGGAAAAAAGTGATTGCAAAAACAAAACAAAATAAAAAAAACAGCTAAAGAATTCTCTAGTTCCTGAAATGAAATATAAATAATTGTGGTGGGTTTTGAAAATCCTGTGGAAGAATCTCCATTTATTAACTTTATTCTCTCTCCTCCTGGTTTTGCCTATTTTCAGGAGCTTAATAAGTTTTTAATTGCAGACACATAAACAGACACAACTGTAACTGTCACATTTACAAACGTGGGACTGAAAGGAGCTTTCAGACACACCATCCAGTCCTCAGCTATCACAGGCCTGACATCCTACAATCACCTTCACCAAATGAGTAACATCTCATTTAAAACTAGTTTTTTGGTCCCTGCTAATCCTAACTAAAATCTCACTGCTCCGATATTTAGGAGCCTCCTTCTACTTTCCAACTGAACCTACCCACTTAATTACTCATGAATATGGCCAGTTCTTCCTCATTAGTTCTTGTGTGTCCACTGTCCCTTAGGTTAAATTGCCAACTCACGTTCCCCAAAATATTTCTAGAGGGAAACTACAGCTTGTCTCAACCTTCCTTTCACTAGCTTAAACAAACTGCTTGCTCTTTTAATCTTCCTTTCATGCCACGGACTTCCATCTCCTCACCCACACCGCTTTCTTCATTTATCTTCCGTAGCACAAGAGACTAACGATCTAGCGGAGGTCTCACCACTGCCTTCAGAAGTGACGTTATTTTCTTTCTCTGGGACATGCACTGCCTAGAATTAGGCTGGTCTACCCTGCTATCAAACCACTTTGGTGGCAAACAGCCATATCATTACTGCGTAATGCACCCAGCTCTCTCTCCTCATCATTATTTGAAAACCGTAAGTGATCACTTCACAGAAAAAGTTACTGTTACCAATCCCCAGCTGCACGACCTTGCATGAGTGACTACCTTCTGTCTTGTTCTACTGCAACAGTCCGCCCAGCTCCCTCTTGTATAAGGCTTCCGTCCTTTTCCATACTTATGTCAACCTCCAGCCTTACATCACCAGTACCTTTCAACACAACAATCTCACTTTTTTGTGCTAAGATTTTGTTTTGTTTCCAAAACACGTTCTCAAGGCCGGCATAATACGGAGATTAAACTGACAGGACTATCTTCTTGAGTGCTCTTCTCCTCCTTTGCAAATACACTTGTTCTTCTCTCTCGACATAAATACGCTTGCTCTTCTCCAATCAGAAAGTCATTCTTAGCAGATTTATTTAAAGTTTTTGCTAGAGGAAATTTGAGCAGAGAACATCCAGGCCTCTGCCCTGAGAAGTTTTAGATTTGGAGGCTTTGCGTGTGTCTTGGGTGGGGTGATTTCCACATCTGTATTCTCATCCCCATTAGCTACCCTGCTTTTGCTCTCTTTCTCAGTATCCTCCACCTCCTCTAAGAAATCTCGGGCAAAGCAGCTTTTAATTTCTGAAGGGAACCTGGGTTATTTTCTACCTTTATTCCATCCTCAGCCCTCAACAGCCTGGCTTCATTTTATCTGCTCTTTTTATTTATAGGTCTGGGGGAAAGAAAAGCATTTTGGCTTTTGTTTTAATGTATTTCGCAAGGTCCACGCTTTTTTTTGCCTCCTGCCACGCTCAGGAATTTACGCCGCTGATGTCAACAGCGACGTTTGTTCCCTAGTCTGCAGGTAAAACGCTGCGCCTTGCCAAAACGCCCGCGGCGCTCCCGGCCAGCAGCGGCCTTCGAGGTTCTCTGCGCTGCGTCCA